AATGTTTCTGTCACTCTGAGTATCTGAGTAACTAGGGTGGTGGTATGCCATGTTCCTATTCTAGCAACTCCACAGGCTGTAAATCTTTACAAGAGCAGAAAGCCTCATCTTTCTCCCATGGAACCACTGGTAGTTTTGACCTGCAGTTCTTGAAGTCAGCAGCCCGAGTAGTGACCACTTTGTTACCAGAGCTCCAGGTAACAAGGGTAAGATAATACGTTCTCTTACCCTTGGTACTCAGCTTGTGATTCAGTAACCAGAAACATCAGCATCACCTGAAAACTTGTTAGAAATACAGAATCTTCTACCAGATTGCCTACAGAATTACAATCTGCATGTTAACAAGATTCCTGGGTGATTCATATACACATTAACATCACAAAGCACTGAGATAGGTAATGTAACCAAGCTACTGATGCCACCTGTGATCACATCCAATCTAAATATGCACAACTAATCTTAATTTTATGATAGAGATATTATACAGGGTAATTAACCGTTCTGATTAATTGATGATATCTCAGCTCCTCTTTTTCTCAATCATTACTCAAAAACTTTCTAAAATGTAGTAGAATATTTTCTTGGATAAATTTAGTATACAAAAAAGTTTGAAATATTTTGATAACTGCAATCATCATTTTGAGTATCTATATTAGATTATAAGGAGCTCTGGTAGCGTAGTGGTTATGAATCGGGCTGTGAACTGCAAGGTCAGCAGTTCGAAACTACCAGCTGTCCCATGGGAGAAAGATGAGGCATTCTGCTCCCATAAAGATTTGCAGCCTCGGAAACCCTGTACAGGGTTGCTATGAGTCGGAACCGACTCCATGGCACATAACCAACCAACCATATTAGATTATGGAGTCCTGGTGTGGTGTTGTGGGTTAATGTGCTGGACTGCAATGTTGGTCTGAACTGCAAAGTCAGTGGTTCAAGCTTACCAGTCACTCCTCGGAAACCCTATAGTGTTGCTATGGGTTGGAACTGACTCTAATGCACTTAACAACAACAATAACAACATATTAGATTATAACTGCTGTACTAATAGAGTGCTTACCAGTACAAACTCTGCTGTTGTACCACAGTAACAGCCATATATAAACAAATGGGTAAGGAGGGGTTCTAATAACACTATCTACTGAAATAGAGAGGAGTGGATTTGGCCCTGTTTGCTATAGTTTGCTAACCAAGAACAATGCTTCCTGCATCAAAGCAACATGCAGGCTACCACAGTATGACAAACGGAGACAAGTAGTAGAGGGTCTCAATAAATCCTTATAAATAGATAAATTTTAAAAAATTAACAGTGATTGACTAAAACTACTATCAAGTTAGACAGACAGTACCATGCACAGGTTTATAATTTTAAAATGAATCTTTTTTCAGTGATCAATTATTATGGTTTTACTTCTTTTACAATAAAAATATTGCCTGGGGTGGTTTGTTTTTTTTTTTAAATTACTTTTATAGAAAGCAGATTTTACAGCCCAGCAAAAATTTAAAGACGAAAACAGAGATTAATTAACTCATTCTGAATGGTTTCATTTGTTCAGAAATCCTTAGTGACCGAAAAACTCCAAAAGATGGCAAGTGGCAGGTGTCAGCAGTTGATTTTCTGTAGACTTTTTAGCACCCTTGAAGGCAGCAGACATGAGAAAATGTTAGTGATTTTGTTAGCTTCGCTTCATTCATGCACATGAGTTCTTAAATCAATCTAGGAAATATTTCAGCATAAAACAAGTATATTCTCTGAAAATATATCACTGTGTTTTATACTCAGTGATTACAATAATTGTATCAAATACTTTAAAAACTATTTCTAGGACTTGATTCTTAACTACTCAAAAATCAATTCAACCATTAAATTTATAATCTTGTAGCTGGATGAAATTCCAGTATCTAAAGACAAATCCTAAAATAGGCCTCATCAATATTGCTGGGAGGGCTGGTGTATCATGGGGTGATGTGATCAGTAATTATGAGAACAAAAGTCGAATCAACTACTATATAATTATTAAAGAAAAAATAAACTGGCTACAAATTCCATGAGTGGACCACCTGCTACAAGAGAATTATGTTGTGAGCTTCTGCTAGGCATCTTGTCCATAAGATGAACACTGTAGCTGCCAGACAAGGAGAAAAATGAAATAAATGACAGTAATTTGCAATTTATTCCTTGTAAAGTAGCTGGGTGCAGAAAGGCTGCTGGGTGAATTTATTTCATCACTTGACATTTATTCTGCTAGTTGATCTTGATTGATTGTAGACTCTCAGGCCTGGTGCTCTTATATTCAACACATACACATGCTGCCGCCTTTCTAAGTAGTGGTGTGCACTGTGATTAATCATAGGGTCCTATTACTAATAGCTTATGAAGAAATCATTTAAATGTAAGGTTACATTAATGTTGTTGTTTTTTTAAATCCCTAATTCATTAGTTAAATTGTCTGAGATTTTCAACAAAGCACTAAGGAAATAAAAATATGTCAAGATATTTTATCTGGGTATAATGTATGCCACAATATTTAAAAAATTATCACTTCTACTTCTCTCCACTTAAGCCAACAAACAGAAAATGTTCTTCAGACTGATTTTCTACTCTAGGATAGCATTCCAATTCAGACATTCTTAAAGTAACTCTTTTGTGCATTTTTATCGTAAGGCATTAATTAGGATCAAACTCAAAAGGTGGTATGTTCATTAAGCCAATCAAAAGTTTGTCTCCCATCGTTTAATTAAAATGTTTATCATTTGTATTATTGACAAAAATTAAACAAGTATCCTATACGATCATGAACAAAATATTTATAAAAATCAGAGAAGGATAAACCACCAAGGTTAACTGATGAGTAATTCCAAGTCAGGGTGGGATAAATGTATCCACAGACTTAAAACCCCTCAGGGGTTATGGAATAAGCTAGAAGGATTCCCAGTGGAAATGGGGTGAGAGGCAATACCAACTGGTCCCTCATTCTACTGCCAGAGAAGGATTCTCACTATCAGCAAAAGCACAGTCTATCAGAGGAAGAGCAAACAACCAAAATTCTATCTGAGATTACTTCAAATACTACCCATGATAACTTTTTCTCTGCTTGTTTCACACCAGCAAGAAAAAGACATTCATACATTGGAAGAAGTCCCTTCCTCCATTTATTCCTTTAAATAATGCTGGATGTATAGCTCCTGTTTTCTGAAGGAATGAAAAAACAAAACTAAAAACCCAAGCAGAGTTGGGGGTGGGGAAGTGGTGAAACACCTTTTTCTGATCGTGGTATACTTTCAAGCTTTGATAGTTAAGAAGCTCAAGTAAAGGGGCTAAACAAGGTGATCCAGAAGTATCCACAGAAGATTGGCTCAGGAGCTGCCAACAGCAGTAAGGAACAAGAGATAATGTTGGTTATGAAAATGTCGGTAACTCTGGAGACAGTAACTGGGGGTCGTCTCCAGGATATGTAGCTACAAGTCTCAGAAACATATCTGGTCAGATAATATTTAATTAGAATTACAACTTTTTAATTTCAAATATAAAAGTAAATGCACGCACTTTGAGTCTTTTTTTGTTGTTGTTGAAATGAAGAAAACCATCCAGGTGTCACTAACAATTAACTCCAATCCCTCTTTATAGGATAACCAGTTGCCATCGACTGGTGACTCTATGTGTGTCAGAGTATTGCTCCTTACAGTTTTCAATAGCTAATTTTTCTAAAGTAGATCACTAGGCATTTCTTCCACTGGGAGCCTCTGGGTGGACTCAAAACGCCACTCTAGGTCAATAGTGATGAGTGTTGACCACTCAGGGCTTCCATCTCTAGGATATATGGGACTTAGTAACTTTTATAAATGAGAGTTCTCCTTTTGGAATAGATACCTTCTAGTGGAAGGAAATACAAAATAATTCTAACTGGTATTTGATAATCAGTATGGTAATGAGAGATTTAGATTGTGTCTTTAAACTTTGCAGTGATTTCCAACTATTCTTCAGTGAGACATCTATGATTACAATCAGAGAAAAAATAACTTTTTGTAGGTATAGGAAATTAGTGTTTGATTTTCTTCTCTTCTCTAATATCGAAGATTAGAGAAGGGAAGGAAGGCACAGTATTATAATAATAATAATCTTAAAGGTTTTGATTTATATTACTAAAATCAAGTCAAACTCCTTGTTAATAATGAGTTATTTCTGTCTTTTTAAAATGCAATGGAAATAACTTAAAAACCAAAGTTAGAAGCATCATACCTGTTTGAAAATCCAGGCTTACAACTTTTGAGGTCTGGTGATGCGTGGGTTGTTTTCAATTTTTTATGTACTGGATTAAATAATTTAGACTGAGAGCCAACAGTAGGTGATATGTTTACACTGTTAGATAGTTGAGTTACACAGTGTGTTCTCTCCTTAGAGGGGTACTGTGTATCACTAAAACAAACATTAGTGGGAAGAGAGTTACGAAATCCCAAATCTTGTATCTGGTTTTGGCCTTTTTTTCTTTCCAAAATACTGGATTTATTGCTAAAATCGGTCAAGACAAGGGTTGTAGTTCCAAAGGCAGTTTTTCTGTTGATCTTCACTTCCGTGTTAAATTTTCCAAAGTTATTACAAGGATATTTCACTAAGTCGTTAAAGGCAATAGAACTTTCTTTGTTCCTAAGTACTGAATCTGGAAGAAAAAAAAGGAATCCGGAAAAATCCCTGTAAATATAATGTATTAACTATTTAGAACATCTTTTTATTTAAGACATTTATTTCACTTACTATACCGTGCCAAGTTTGCTTGGAGATTTCAGAACTAAGCACCTTCTTGTAGAAATTTACAGGGACCCAGAGATGGGTCTAACAAAGATTTATATTTGCTTTGTGTTATGCTGATGCATTTAAAGATTATTCAGCTATTGATTTTGCTAAGAAAAGGCAACATATTAAACCAGTGGTAATTTAGAAATGATATACCATAAAGTGTGAGGTTGGCTGTTACAGGCATATATCTGTAAGCAAAAATGAATTATAAGGACACTTATTAAAAATATTGCTTCAAACAAGTACTACAAGATTTTGAAATCTGTATTATAATATATTCTTAATTACAATTATATGTCTTTCATACAGAAAAAAGTAATATGAAAATAGGTAAATAAGACGTGCAAAGGCATTTCAGAATGCTGAAACAAATGTGGAAGTCTAAGGTTGTGGCTTTCCAAGGGCTTTCTCTGCTGAGTGATAGTGAGGAGGGAGGGATAGAAATAGCAGGCACTGTCCTTTCTGCTACCAGCAAAGCTGTACAAGGGCCGATGGCCGCCTTTCTGGTCCAGGGAACAAAACACAAGACGACAGCTAACAGAATACAGGGGTCCATAAGTCAAGAATGAACTTTCTCATCTCTAATTGAAGAAAGAAATAACACTTTGAGAACACAATAGAAGCAGCATCAATGAGATGGTTCTTAATCACAGGTTTCCTCTGAGGTTTTACATTCACTGAACGCATGAAATTGTCAGCTATAAAGAGTTATTTTGAAGTATTTCAATGAAATCAGTACAATTGTCTGGGTAAAGATTTTAATAACAAGGGGTAGGAAGGATAAAGAAGATAAAAAAAATTCAGCATTTTTCTATTCCACCTGCAAAGATATTCTTACAGAAATCCTCCCTTTCAATTTATGAAACACTTGGACTGAATAACAAACTTGAAAGTTGCTGAAATCTGCATAAAACAAAGCTTTATTGAATAATTCATTAGAAACAGTAGAGAACAGATGTGATCATTTCGTTTTTTTTGAAATACAAAGGCACATACTGTTTTAGCACAAGCATGTTTTCCCTCCCTGTTAAAAAAAGTACTCAACAGAATATTAGCATGGTTTACATGCAAAGGGTGGCGATTTCTTTCAACTTCTCAGAAAGTAAGCGTGTTACTTTGACTGTCAAGATGGAATAAGATCTGTACCTGATTTGATATAACTTATAAATGAAAAGAACTCAATCGAAGTTCAGTCTTACCATTAGGCCTTGAAGTTAAGCAAGCATCACATGCCTCAGAAGAAGGCTTATTGATTAGTGTACAGACCACACATGTCCACTGCTCTTCAGATTTCTTAGCCACAGAGTCCGTGTCATCCCTCCTGTTACATGTCCAGCTAAAGATGGTATTTCTAGTTGGCAGTTTGCTATAAAATAATTTAGCAATTAACTATTAGCGTTGTTATTATTTTCACATTTTGGGTATTTTAGAAACGATTGCAGTACATCTAATATTCAAATGCCACACACTTATTACTTAGAAGTTAAAACCATTTCTTAATACAAAACATACTCATTTTGGTGCTGCTGATTGCTAATAAGGTTAAAAATACCAAAAGTTTTCATTTGGAGTTAAAGAATTATTTTAAAACCAACTACAAATATTTGATATAACTATGAGGATGCATACCTCAATCTCTTTAGTTAGTGGTACTTTTTTCAGCCAAAAGAGTGAAGAAAAAAAAAAAAAATCATGTGGAAATTAGAACATGAAAAGTAAACTGAAAAATGTTTTACTTCGTATGGCTTGAATGAAAATTGTAGAATTTCCAACAGTACCTAGTAAGCAGTATACTGATTCGTTGATAAGGATATCAAGAAAATACCTTTGTGTTCTTTCCATTTAGTTGGATAAATGAACAAATTAGTTAGAAATGTATTTGCTGGTCAACATATGAGTATGTTAATAATAAAACATTCCTGTTTTTGTTTTTTTTTACCAGAAATGTGAATCATGAATTGATCATTTATTACTACTCAAAACACCTTTATAAAGCTCTGATACAACACTCGCTAATGCATAGTCAAAGAGTTCTAGTGTGGCATTGTAGGATAAGCACTGGAGTGCAAGGTCAGCTTGAACAACAAGACTGGCAGTTTAAGCCCAACAGCTACTCCTAGGAAACCCTATACAGCGTCGCTGTGAATTGGACTAAATGGCACTTAACAATAACAACAATTCATAATCCTAGTGTAGTGCTGTAGGATAAGCACTGGACTGCTAACTATAAGGTCAGAGGTTCAAACCCACCAGTTGCTCCTTGAACCTATACAATATCACTATGAGTCGGTATCAACTTGATGATAATTAACAAAAACAGTGCATAGTTAGAGATGTGTAGAGCACATCATATCGCTAAGAAACATGATCATGTCATGGATTCCTTTCAGAATTCCAAACAATTTAAAAAGCTCTTCCAGATAAAGGCTATGTACCTTACATTGCAGAACATAAGTTCTTTGACTTTCAGAGGGAGTCTTGACTTCTGTAACATTTTGCTCCTTAGATATAATTAGCTAAATTTTGAGATTCAGACTTGTCCAGTAAAATAATAAATAGCACCAGAAAATCTTAAAGATAAGTCTTACTGAGATTCTTTTATCTTTACTTATCTTGACTTTTAAGGCTGCTTAGTATTTATTCCTGTGGAACATGAGACTGTCTATAAAAATTTATTTATCTGACCTAATGCCTGCCTCCTACTAACTTATTCTGAAAGGCAGTATGCATTTATTCATCATTAAATAAACACAAAAAATTTAAATGACCTTCAGATTTTGGATTTGCTCCAATTTTTTACTATTTTTATTTTCTTCTGCTGTTGAGATTTCATTAATCATAAGGGGAGGGTTACTAGAATTTTTAGATGCATTTTTTCCTTACTACTCTACTTTTGAATCACCCACTAGTAAATCCTGTCCAATCTCTACTTGAATCTGTAACAGGAAGCTCAAACTTAACATGTCTGTAGTGTGCTAATTAGTGGCTACTGAAAGATAACAGAGCAGGGAACTTATATTATTTTATAAGGAAAAAGAGGATTCCTGGAAATAGGGACTTTGGAGATGCCATTTTATTAAGGATTTTGACATGGGGAGATTACCCTGGATTAGCTGGGTAAATCCTAATTCGGATTACAATTTTCCATATAAGACAGGCAGAGGGATGCACTGAAGAGAAAGTAATGCTGGAAATACTCAGAAACTGGAATAAGCAAGGAGCCTCCAAAGGTAATGCAGTATTGCTGAAACCTCAATATCAGTCTTGTGCAGCTGATGTTGAGTTTCTGACCTCCAAAACAGTGACAAAATATATTCCTGCTACTTGAAGCCACCAAGTTCATGGTAATTAGGGCAGCCATAGGAAACTAACATAAGGACAATTTGTCATTTTTGCTTATTCTTCCTAATCTGTGTCTCTACTCATTTTGTTTCATCTCAGTAAATGGCATTACTCTGCTGATGTGGTGCGCTGGACTGCAAAGTCAGTTTACAACGCAAGGTCAGCAGTTCAAGTTCACCAGCTGCCCCTTGGTTGCTCTGGGTTGGAACCAACTTTACGGTACTTAAAAACACAACATACACTCAATGAAATATAATGAGAGGCACAAAGGTCTGGAGTTGAAAAACTAAAAGGGAAGAACATGGTAAGCATTTCTCAAGTTTAAAGAACTGAAGAAAACATTCAAGAAGGATTCTATGGGCAAAATGGAGTGCTCTGTCGGATAACAACTGTTCTGCTAACCACAAAGTTGACAGTTTGGGCCCACCTGTCACTCCATGGGAGAAAGATGATGCTTTCTGCCCCTGTAAAGATTTACAGCTTCAAAAATCCTATAAGGGAGCATTAAGAGTCTGAACCAACTAGATGGCAGTAACAACAATGGGGAACATAATGAATTATGTAGGAAGCATCAAAAGATGAAAAAATACAGAGTCACAGCACCAAAAACAACTGGTTGGCATTCAGCCATTTCAGGAGGTAGCATATGATCAAGAACAGATAGTACTGAAGTAAAAGTTCAGGTACTGAAGTAAAAGTTCAGGAAGTATTAAAGATGTTATTATTGTTAAGTGCCATTGAGTTGGTTCTGACTCATAGCCACCCTATATAGGGTTTCTGAGGAGTAGCTGATGAGTTTGAAATGCTAACCTTGCAGTCCAGTGCTTCTCCTAAAGTTCCAGATAGTAGCCAAGAGCATGGCTCCAAAAATTGGCAGAATAGCAATTGAAATGTTTCAACAAACTGATGCAGTACCGGAAGCACTCACTAGTCTGTGCAATTTGGAAGACAGTTACTTGACTGGAAAAGGTCCATATTTGTGCCCATTCCAAAGAAAGGTAACTCAACAGAATGCAGAAACTCGGTAACAATACCATAAATATTACATGTAAGTTAAACTTTACTGCATATAATTCTAAAACAGTTCACCAGTACATCGACAGAGAGCTGGAGTCAGTAGAGAATGTGGAACGTGGGATTTTATTGCTGATGGTATCATTGTTGTTGTTGTTGTTAAGTGCCGTCGAGTCGGTTCCGACCCATAGCGACCCTGTACAGGGTTTCCGAGGGTGTAAATCCTTACGGGAGTAGAAAGCCTCATCTTTCTCCCGCGGAGCGGCTGGTAGTTTCGAACCGCTGACCTGAAGGTTCGCAGCCCGATTCGTAACCACTACGCTACCAGAGTTGCTGATGGTATCATTGGATGTGTTCAAATAGCCAACCTTTTGATTACCAACAGAGTGCAAAATGTTTGTGTCATCTAGAGACCTCTGAGGTGAGAATCTGACCAAGAGATGATGTTTCATCCTTGCTCATGACCAATATGACTCGGGCTGCAAGGCTGCTCAACCTATGCATCAGCCCAGATCCCAATCCAGAAGCTGGGGGAGGAGAGAAATCAGAGGTAGCTTAGGGAGATGAGAGGGATAGGGTTCTCAGCTGATGACTTTGAAAGTACTGTCTGCAAGTCAGCAACATTAGCATCACCTAGACTTGTCAGATGCAGATACTGAATCAAACTCTGTGAGGTGCAGCAATCTGTGTTTTGATAAGTCCTCCAAGAGATCCTTATTCATTTAAAAGTTTGAGAACCACTGTTTTAAGAACTTTCATAGGAATAATTACTGTCTATGTAGTACCAGCAATAGACAGCAATAGACTCAGAGGTTTGAGCCCACCATCCACTCAGCAGGAGAAAGAGGAGACTTCCTGCTCCCACAAATATTTACAGATTGGAAACCCTATACAGGGTTGATATGAGTCTGAACCAACTTGACTGGTTGGCACTTAACAAAACAACGTACAAAGAACAAGTGATAGTTGATCAAATGACACAGGGACAGGTAAAGATGTGCTTTCATCAATAGCCAATTGTAAAGCCAAAAGATTAAGCTATTAAAAAAATCTACTAATATTGTTGTTGGTATATGAAAAGACAACCAGGGAGTATGCAGCCATAACATATAGGAAAGAAATTATACAGGTGTGTCAGGTGGAAATCATCAGACAATATCATTAGTATCACATACAAGTAAAATTTTATAAAGATAATTAAAAACTGGCTGCAACCATACATTGACAGAGAAATTTCAGAGGTTCAAGCAGGATTGAGAAGAGGGCATGGAATGAGGGATATGATTGTTGATGTCAGATGGATCTTGGCTGAAAGTAGAGAGTACTAGAAAGATTTTACCTGCGTTTTATTTATTATGCAAAGGCTTTTGATTGTGTGGCTCATGACAAGCCATGGACAACAATGTAGAAAATAAGTATTCCAGAACACTTAACTGTGCTTATGAGGAGCCTATACATAGATCAAGAGGCAGTTGTTTGACTAGAACAAGGGAAAACTGAATGGTTTAAAATTAGGAAAGGTGTGTGCCAGGGCTGTATTATTCAACCTGTATGTTGAACACATAATCTGAGAAGCTGGAGTACATGGCATCAGGATTGGAGGAAGGAAGACTCATTAACAACCTGTGATATACAGATGATACAACTTTGCTTGCTGAAAGTGAAGAGGACTTAAAATACTTACTGATGGACATCAAAGACCACAGTCTTCTGTATGGTTTGCATCTCAATGTAGAGAAAACAAACATCCTCATCATTGGATCAATACATAACATCATGATAAATGGAGAGAAGAATATAGTTATCAAATACTTCACTTTATTTGGATCAACCATCAACACTCATGCAAATAGAAGTCAAGAAATCAAATGACATGTTGCATTAGACAAATCTGCTACACAATACCTCTTTAAAGTGTTTAAGAGCAATGATGTCAGTTTGAGGACTAAGGTGCACCTGACCCAAGCCATGGTATTTGAATAACCTCATATGCATGTGAAAGCTGGATAG